AAACTACTCTGATCAGACAGATGTGAGACCAGTGCGTACTACACTACACTGATCAGACAGATGTGTGACCAGTGCGTACTAAACTACTCTGATCAGACAGATGTGAGACCAGTGCGTACTACACTACACTGATCAGACAGATGTGTGACCAGTGCGTACTAAACTACTCTGATCAGACAGATGTGAGACCAGTGCGTACTACACTACACTGATCAGACAGATGTGTGACCAGTGCGTACTAAACTACTCTGATCAGACAGATGTGAGACCAGTGCGTACTACACTACACTGATCAGACAGATGTGTGACCAGTGCGTACTAAACTACTCTGATCAGACAGATGTGAGACCAGTGCGTACTACACTACACTGATCAGACAGATGTGTGACCAGTGCGTACTAAACTACTCTGATCAGACAGATGTGAGACCAGTGCGTACTACACTACACTGATCAGACAGATGTGTGACCAGTGCGTACTAAACTACTCTGATCAGACAGATGTGAGACCAGTGCGTACTACACTACACTGATCAGACAGATGTGTGACCAGTGCGTACTAAACTACTCTGATCAGACAGATGTGAGACCAGTGCGTACTACACTACACTGATCAGACAGATGTGTGACCAGTGCGTACTAAACTACTCTGATCAGACAGATGTGAGACCAGTGCGTACTACACTACACTGATCAGACAGATGTGTGACCAGTGCGTACTAAACTACTCTGATCAGACAGATGTGAGACCAGTGCGTACTACACTACACTGATCAGACAGATGTGTGACCAGTGCGTACTAAACTACTCTGATCAGACAGATGTGAGACCAGTGCGTACTACACTACACTGATCAGACAGATGTGTGACCAGTGCGTACTAAACTACTCTGATCAGACAGATGTGAGACCAGTGCGTACTACACTACACTGATCAGACAGATGTGTGACCAGTGCGTACTAAACTACTCTGATCAGACAGATGTGAGACCAGTGCGTACTACACTACACTGATCAGACAGATGTGTGACCAGTGCGTACTAAACTACTCTGATCAGACAGATGTGAGACCAGTGCGTACTACACTACACTGATCAGACAGATGTGTGACCAGTGCGTACTAAACTACTCTGATCAGACAGATGTGAGACCAGTGCGTACTACACTACACTGATCAGACAGATGTGTGACCAGTGCGTACTAAACTACTCTGATCAGACAGATGTGAGACCAGTGCGTACTAAACTACACTGATCAGAAAGATGTGAGACCAGTGCGTACTAAACTGCACTGATCAATGAGGGATGCGAGACCAGTGCGTACTTAAGTACACTGATCAGACAGATGTGTGACCAGTGCGTACTTAACTGCACTGATCAGACAGATGTGTGACCAGTGCGTACTACACTACAAACTACACTGTACACTGATCAGACAGATGTGTGACCAGTGCGTACTAAACTACACTGTACACTGATCAGACAGATGTGTGACCAGTGCGTACTAAACTACACTGTACACTGATCAGACAGATGTGTGACCAGTGCGTACTAAACTACTCTGATCAGACAGATGTGAGATCAGTGCGTACTAAACTACACTGATCAATGAGGGACGCGAGACCAGTGCGTACTTAACTACACTGATCAGACAGATGTGTGACCAGTGCGTACTAAACTGCACTGATCAATGAGGGACGCGAGACCAGTGCGTACTTAACTACACTGATCAGACAGATGTGTGACCAGTGCGTACTAAACTACACTGATCAGACAGATGTGTGACCAGTCCGTACTTAACTGCACTGATCAGACAGATGTGTGACCAGTGCGTACTACACTACACTGATCAGACAGATGTGTGACCAGTGCGTACTAAACTACACTGATCAGACAGATGTGTGAACAGTGCGTACTAAACTACACTGAGCAGACAGATGTGAGACCAGTGCGTACTAAACTACACTGATCAGACAGATGTGAGACCAGTGCGTACTAAACTACACTGATCAGACAGATGTGAGACCAGAGCGTACTAAACTACACTGATCAGACAGATGTGAGACCAGTGCGTACTAAACTACACTGATCAGACAGATGTGAGACCAGTGCGTACTAAACTACACTGATCAGACAGATGTGACCAGTGCGTACTAAACTACACTGATCAAACAGATGTGAGACCAGTGCGTACTTAACTACACTGATCACAGATGTGTGACCAGTGCGTACTAAACTACACTGATTAGACAGATGTGAGACCAGTGCGTACTAAACTACGCTGATCACAGAAGGACACAAAACCAGTGCGTACTAAACTACACTGATTAGACAGATGTGAGACCAGTGCGTACTAAACTACGCTGATCACAGAAGGACACAAAACCAGTGCGTACTAAACTACACTGATTAGACAGATGTGAGACCAGTGCGTACTAAACTACGCTGATCACAGAAGGACACAAAACCAGTGCGTACTAAACTACACTGATCACTAAGAAATCAGTGCATACTAAACTACACTGACCACTGAAACCAGTGCATACTAAACTACACTGATCACTGAGCGATGTGAACCTGGGAAGTATTTCAGAAAGCATGTTTTAGCAACTTACTCTGTAAGTTCACGTATAAGAAAACCTCCACTTTCAGTTCCAAAAACTGAGCTAATTTTCATGTTATGTACTTAGCCATATCAACTTACACTCTGAACGTAACCTGCACATTTCATCATTTATCATTTTAAAGCTTCTATAATAATGTTTATTTCACTTTAAACACTTAACCACAAAGAGAAGTGTGGAAGGATGTTGTACACTTCATGCACTCAACAGTTGCAGCTTTCATAAAGACTACAAAATAACATGATAAAATTCGTACTCTAGACATTAGAGCACACAGTGTGTAGTACATCATTTACGTGAGTTAACTGTGGGTTACCAGTAGGAGGATGTTTGAACTCCTCAGAGGTGTTCTGGAATCAGTACAGCCCGAGTAAGCAAGAGTTAATCAACAGATTCATGGCTTACACTGTCGTTCAAATGTTTGGGATCAGTAAGGTTTTTAAATGTTTTTTAAAGAAGTTTCTTACGCACTTCAAGGCTGCATTTATTTGATAAAAAATACAGAAAAAAACTGTAATATTTTGAAAGATTACAATTTAAAATAATGGTTTTCTATTTTAATATACTTTAAAATATAATTTATTCCTGGGATGCGAAGCTGAATTTTCTGCATCATTACTACTGTACATTACTCCGGTCTTCAGTGTCACATGATCCTTCAGAAATCATTCTAATATGCTAATTTATGTTTTATATTAATATTTTTTATAACCTTATAAAGAGTTATATTCTTTTTATAACGTTAAAAAGAACAGCATTTATTTAAAATACAAATCTTTTTCAAATAGAAAATTCAGCTTTGCATTACAGCATAAATTATATTTTGATGTTTAAATAGAAAAACATTATTTTAAATTCTAATAATATTTCACAATATTACTGTTTTTCTGTATTTTTTGGTCTTGATGAGAAAAAGAGATTTCTTTCAAAAATATTAAAAATCATTCTCATCCCAAACTTTTGAACAGCAGTGTATGTGATGGTAAAACAACTTTGATTTTGGAAATCATGATGATTAGAAGTTGAGAAAGAAAATTAAATCTGACCTTTACAAAGAGTTCATATTTAACGTAATCTAGGTAGTGTTTTTCCATTTTACACCACAAATTCAGACCCCACTATAGATGAACACGCACAGACGGACAGAGAGATAATGACAGCTGCTGTACAAAGTAACAATCAACAACATATATAATAATGTTGGCATATTTATTGCACAATATTCCCATAAAAACTGGGAAACAAAGATAAGGTCAAAAAGAGAGGCTTTATGTACAAATACATCAAGAAAATCTATGCAGTACAGCTAACATTTACCAATACATGCCAAGTAAATAAATTAAATGCTTTTCTGTATAAAGATATAATTAGATATAAATACACATTCTGGAGGCAAATAGATATAGATTTTTTTTTTTTTAATACAAAATGTTTCCCACCGAAGCAACTCCTACATGTTTTAACCAGCTAAAATAACCTGCAACACCTTGCAAAGCCAGTGTTTGGTTTGTTTGTTTTTTCTTTTTTTGTCGATTAAGACTAAGATGTATGGTTTGACCCAAAGACAAAGTAAGCCAACCATTCATAAACATCTTTGTAAGTCATTAACTGATTGAATCATTGCATGTTCATTTTTCATCCATTTCTCTGTTATTCCATCAGTAAAAAAATCTGTCTGCAAGCTAAAAAGACACATGAAAAAATGTCAGCATTTCAATCCTGAAAATACAAGATGATTGTTGAATTAAAAAAGGGTCCGGCACAAATCCCAATGTAGTGATTGGTGACCATCTCGTTTCTCTTGACCAAATTATTCCCTTTTTTAAAAATCGCATCACACAGAATGTTGTGTCTAAATGACTATTCAAATAAAAATACATCTCTTAACCATTTCCACAGGACAGGTAAACACTTCTGTTACAGCTAAAGTGACGCTGCCCAAAAAAAATGATAAAAACTGAATCCTCAGAGCTCTTTCATGGGAAATCGTTGCATGGTTTCATCTTTATTGGGTGACTGAAAACCAAAAATGAAAACTTTACCTCAAATGTTTAATTTAGCATGTTAGATGTGCGTGTGTGTGATACTGAAGGTTTGAGGTAGAGCTCATTTCAACTGGACACGACTTGTAAACACAAAGAAGGGAATATTGCATGATCACTCACTGCCACAATCGATTGAGAACAGTCCATGATATATTCATTTAAAATCATAAAACTGATTTTATAACTCAGTCTTTGCTTCCTACGTTGATTTGAAGAAGGTGCCATGAACAGCTTCAGTATTTGTTCTTGATGCACGCAAGGGCTGCTTGGATTTATTCTTTGGCTTTTACATTCTTACGTTGTGTAAAGGAACAAGAAATAAAACAAAATGCGGTTTATGGAATTAAAAAATGCACTCCATGTGTCCACTGTTGAAAAGTGATATTCCCAGGTCACTTTCAGGGAACCTCTGGGTTTCGACTCTCATCTAAAGGCAGAGCGTCTGTCCTGCAGTCTGCTCACCCTGAGACGGTTCCCAACGAGCGCCAACTCAACGGTCAGTTGCTCCAGGAGTCTCAGGGGCCTCGAGGGGCCCAGTCCGGCCGTACCGAACCTGGAGGACCCGACCCGTCTGCCGGCAGGGGAATGGAGTCTCTCTCGCTCTCCATGTGTCCTACAGCAGAATCTGGGCCACGTACGGTGAGTGTGTGCTCGCTATGGCCGCTAGCAGGGGCAGATCGTTAGACTCGATCCTGTGGGGATAAACCAGATCAGATTGTTAAAAAAACAGACATGCATCACGACTAGTGGTCGACCGATATGGATCTTTTTTTGATGGCCTATTCTGATGTCTTAAAGGGTTATTTCACCCAAAAATGAAAATTCTGTCATTAATTACTCTACCCTCGTGTTGTTCGAAACCCATAAGACCTTCGTTCATCTTTGGAACACAATTTAAGATATTTTTGACGAAATCCGAAGGCTCTCTGACCCTCCCATAGACAGCAAGGTAACTACCACGTTCAAGGTCCAGAAAAGTACCAAGATGATCGACAAAGTAGTCTTATCATGACGCGAGTGTGTGGCGGCGCTGACCCAGATCCGGCATAATGACGTCATCACTAAATAAAGTTGTTATTTTTGTTTTCTTTGCGCAAAAAAGTATTCTCGTAGCTTCGTAACTTTACAGTTGAACCACTGATGTCACACGGACTACTTTGTCGATCATCTTGGTACTTTTCTGGACCTTGAACGTGGTAGTTACCTTGCTGTCTATGGGAGGGTCAGAGAGCCCTCAGATTTCATCAAAAATATCTTAAATTGTGTTCCGAAGATGAACGAAGGTCTTACGGGGTTTCGAACAACACGAGGGTGAGTAATTAATTACAGAATTTTCATTTGTGGGTGAACTAACCCTTTAAGGTCCTTGCACAGAGTCCAAAATTCTCGTCCCAAATTTTCGCACGTTAAAAAATAAAAACGACACGTTTACACACTGCTTCTGAAACTTTCATCTGTCATAAAAATATTTAAATTTTCTGCATTTTCTGCATCCGTAGCAAGCGTTTTCAGAGGTGTTTTGACAATTCAGATCCACCGTACAAGTGAACGCCAATATCCGCTTGATCCACTTCAACAGCACACAGCAAATTGGTGGTCTTCTTTTTAATATGTGGCTCCAGTATCGCTAGCAAAGCATCAAACTGAGCAACTGACATCCTGAAGTAAACTTTGAATCGCTGTGGATAATCCTGAAGCTCCTTGGTAAGGTGGAAACTCTCTCTGCGCAATCTCAGGTTTGGATGGACCCAATATTTCCTCTCATTTTTTCTTTTTAAGAAGAGAGAGAAGAACAAAATCATCCTCACTGCTTGAAGACTCCGTTTTGTATTGTTTTGTGAATTTTTTCACAACGGTTAATCCTGCAGGTGCTAATACGCATCGGACTCAGTGTGCAAGGTTTCTATGCGTGACGAATTTTTTGAATGACGAATACGAAAAAACGCAAACTCAGTGTGGACCTTTTCAGGGTGGCCGATTTATATGCTATCACACCATTTATTCATTTAAAAACACATGTAAAACAATTACTGAAATTAAATGTATTTTTACATAATATTTATACATAATAATCACAGACCGACTGTTAAACACAGAGTTCAGTCCTTTTTATTCACACTTCAGATGATCTCACAGCTGAATTCCATAAAGTTTGCAAGACTGGTCAAATGAAACATTTATTAGATATTCAAAGACTTGTTTAAAGGAAATGTGTATTTGCTGAATGCTGACGGTAGATGAGAAAGTATTGTAATAAAAAGCAAACTCCATACACTTTTTCCATATACCACTTACTTTGCATAAAGTTCTGTGTAATAATTCATCAGTCTGTCAAACTGTTAAACAGGGACAGTAAAATAATGGGATATTCGTGCACTCTGGCCCTAGTGTTCTCATTAGTGTGCTGTCATAATAAAAGTCCAACATAATGGCCAAAGAGAAAAAACTTCTTGGCCAATGCCGATAATAAAAAAAAAAAAGCCAAATATCGGTCGACCACTAATTACAACTTGTAGAAAGACACATGAATTCTTACCCTAGAACCATGCCCAGCTCCTTCACATGCACCCTGGTCTGTCCTTTCAAGTACTCGGCCAGCATTTGTCACAACCCTAGCCAACATACAGCACTGACTCCAATCCTGCTCCTGCAGAGCTCAGTTTCAACCTGCCCATTTCACAATAAACGTCCAAAGCCCGGCTTCGAGTTTGCATGTTTTGATGCCCATGTGTTTGAAATTAGTTGCTGTAGCATGTGTATCAAAGACGCATGAATGAAGCTATGCATTTTTGGGGGCCGTTCACAAAGAACACGTTTTTTTCCATTCGAATTCTCTACTTTTCCATTGTCTTTCTATGTAGACGTGCTACACAAACATCTATGAGCGTTGCGCATTGCAGAATCTTGCATGAGCACCACGTTTTTAAGACACCGTGTCAAGTAAAAAGATTGAACAAAATTTCAACTTTCACACGCAGCGCCGCTCATCAAATCCAGTTCCAAAACAGTGGACCAATCAGAAGAGCCCAGAGGCGGGGCAAGCGTTGCAAGCTTTTGTTTACAGTAGCAAGTTGGCAAAGCAACTGTTTTATTTGACGGCAACATGGTGGAGCAGGCATTCTGTGCTGCACTTTTTAAAAAAAACATTTGTGAGCGCTGTGACTCGTGTTTTTAGATGCAAAGACGCATTCTGTCTTGGTTTACCATCCTAACAGTAAACCATAAGATTACTTGCTTTTGATACTTTATTGATCCAATTATTCAAAAATAATATCTAATTACTTGATTAATTGTTAAAATAATCGATTGCTTACAAAAATAATAGGGCTGCCCTCGACTTAAGATTTGTCTGGTTGACTAGTAGTCATTCATTTGAAGCATTAGTCGACTAATCACACGTTTATTAATAAACCATTTAAATCATAATACTGAGCCTTTAATTGCCTACATAGCCTAATAAGCGCTCAAGCACAAACATAAAGCTTGCCACAGCACACCGGCAGAAGTAATGATAATGAATGTGTCAGGGAAAAACAGTAAGGAGGCTGCATTAACATTTTAATAATTTGTTGATAAACTAGTGCTTACTTTTTTTCGTCTTAAGAGATGCGACACCGACTCGTCATCTCCGCGGTAGTGGATGCGCCTGTATGCATGTTTCATATGGATTACATAATCGGAGAATATTTGTTTTCCATTTGAATTGGTTTATTTAAAAATAGACATGTTGCTTGATGTAGAGATATTTTTTATGTCTGTGAGGCAAGCACAGAGTGCTTTTGGCAGTACTGCTTTCATTATTTTACAAAAGCGCAATGTTTTGTTGTTATTGTGAGTGCACACAAATAAATTTAGAATCTTTACAGATTCAAAAGGTGTTGTACTCTTATTTGTATGAGCAAAAATGAGGGAGTATTTTAAGAGCAAGTGAGCGCACCGGCACCTCCATTTGTATTAGCACATAGACCAGCCGTTAATGATCTGTCTGTCACAGATTGCGAGACTTCGTCAGTGGATTTTTTTTTTCTTCTGCGACTAATCGAGTAATAAAATTCTGGTCGACCAAGCCTGTTCTGGTCGACTAACGGTTAGTCGACTATTAGGGGGCAGCCCTAAAAAATAATCAACAGTGAGAGCTCTAAAATGTGTTCACGTTTCCTTACAGATGTCCTGATGATGGAGTAAATAAAGTAGAAGAAACGTGAGAAAGTTGCACTCACGAAGTTTGGCGACAGGTTGAGTCGGTAGAGCTGGTAGGTGGACTGGAGCAGGTTGGACACGAGGTTGGACACTAGCACCTCTTTGCCCAGCTTGTCGGAGGATCGCCTCTGGCTGCTGGCCACCTGCACGCTCCACTTATCGGTGTCTGCGATAATGCAGACGGCCTCCGCGATGGGCTCATCCAGCACAGGATGCTGCACAACAACAATTCAGCTCGTATCAATTTACACTTTACACATTATTTACACACATGATTTTCACATTTTTGTTAGGACTCTTAATAATTTGTTGATAAACTAGTGCTTACTTTTTTTCGTCTTAAGAGATGCGACACCGACTCGTCATCTCCGCGGTAGTGGATGCGCCTGTATGCATGTTTCATATGGATTACATAATCGGAGAATATTTGTTTTCTATTTGAATTGGTTCATTATTAAAACATTTTGCGTTCAATATATATATTTCTCATGTCTGTGAAGCAACGGAGTTTCAGTTCATTTTTGACCCACTAAAGTTCACCGGGACTGAGACAGCAGAAATAATATCCTGTTTGGTTTCATTATTTTACAGCGCACGTTTTTTTGTTATTGTGAGTGTACACAAACAAATGTAGACCCTTAACAGATTCGAACAATGTAATCGACTAACGGTTAGTCGACTATTAGGGGGCAGCCCTAAAAAATAATCAACAGTGAGAGCTCTAAAATGTGTTCACGTTTCCTTACAGATGTCCTGATGATGGAGTAAATAAAGTAGAAGAAACGTGAGAAAGTTGCACTCACGAAGTTTGGCGACAGGTTGAGTCGGTAGAGCTGGTAGGTGGACTGGAGCAGGTTGGACACGAGGTTGGACACTAGCACCTCTTTGCCCAGCTTGTCGGAGGATCGCCTCTGGCTGCTGGCCACCTGCACGCTCCACTTATCGGTGTCTGCGATAATGCAGACGGCCTCCGCGATGGGCTCATCCAGCACAGGATGCTGCACAACAACAATTCAGCTCGTATCAATTTACACTTTACACATTATTTACACACATGATTTTCACATTTTTGTTAGGACTCTCAGTGACACTCAAGTGCTGTAGGTGGGATGTATGGGACTCTTTTTCACACGAGAGGGTCCCATGGTAAAAGTGGTTTGTGATGATGATTAACAGTAGTGTTTGGGGATCGTATGTAAGGCTGTAACTAACAATTATGTTGATAACTGCTTAATCTATTGATTATTAAACTTGGCAAAATAGGGTTAAAATATAAACATTACATTGTGAACCACAAAACAACTGATTGCTTACCATTTATAAAGTACAAGTTAAATTAAAACAAATTTGAAAGTGCAAGTTAAGTTCAAACGAAATTGAAAATCATAATAAAAGAAAAACAAATCTCTATATAATTCTTTTTTTTTTCAATTTTAGTTTTAGTTATTTATTACAAGTTAAACTAAATAAAAATTACAAATGATGCCTTGCACTGCAAAAAAATGCTTTTCTTACTTAGATTTTTTGTCTTGTTTTCAGCCAAAATATCAAAAGAAATTCTTAAATCAAGAAGGATTTTCTAGACAAGTACAAATTATTGTCTTGTTCTAAGCAAAAACTCGCTTAATTTTGACTTGGTTTTTTTCTGTTTTTTTCTTTAAGTAAGAAAAGCATTTTTTGCAGTGTGGCAACTAGCCGAAATAAAACATTTTTTTATATTTTCTTTATTATTTTTTACCCCATGGTTTTCATTTTAGTTTTTGTAAACTAAAATAACCCTGGCACAGATGTGATTAGTTGATAATCAAATTTGTTGCCAATAATTGTCATTATAGAAGATTATCAATTTTATCGATTAGTTGTTGCAGCCTTAATCTTATATAACTATAACTATCAGCAACAGACCCTTCATCAAGTGTTACACAGGTGATGCTTGGTGACTTGTTGGAGGTGGTATTTACCTGCACAGCATGGGCCAGATCCGACACGAGGTTCTGCCTCAGTTTCTCATCATTGGGGGCTCCGTGCAGAACAAAGTCTGGGATGTACGTAGGACAGTATCCTCCGAAGAGCGACCTCCCAAAGTTGGCAATGCTTGGTTTAGAGTAGTTCTCCACCAGCTTCGCCCTAGAAAACACATAACCTTGTTTATTAGCAACATTTATAAGGTACAGACTAGGGCTGAGTGATGTGGCCAAATTTTTTTTGTATTTTTTGGTTGAATTGCAATATATGGTATATATCTCGTTATTCCATGGTCTGTCTGAATACTGGATTCTGATTGGCTAGCAGGTATGAAGTAAAACCGTTTAATGCACAGGTAGTTCCAAGTCATTTAATCACCGTTCTATATTAATGAAGCGCTTTAATTGATGCACACTAACCCACATACATCACTCGCGCACACACACACACACACACACACACACACACACACACACACACACACAGAGAGAGTTGGAGATCGCACACAAATAAACTTGTCGTCAACGCTTCCCCGCGATTTTTATTAATAAAACAGCCTTGATACTAGATCGCTATTTTATATTCCTCAGCAATGAGGTGGTTTCTGAAGTAATTAATTGTTTGTAGAGAGAGACACGCAGACGCAGCACGCAGGAAATGCACACACAACTGTCATCTCTCTCTTTCTCTCTCTTGATCTATAATTAATTGAAATAAATGCTATAATTCATTCAAATAAATGTGATCTTACCACACTATTTCATCCCTGTGTCTGATTTGAAGCGCGCAGAATGCTAGAGCTAACGTGCCGTAACTGACGAAAATGACTGTCATTTTTACCCATTCGGTCCTTAGCCAAATTCAAGAATCGGCTTAAAACACATCTCTTCCATCTTTATTTGACCCTCTAACTCTAGCACTCTCTATTCTAATTCTATTCTTAAAAAAAAAAAAATATGGCCCCTTTTAGTCTGGCACGCTATTCATTTACTAACTGCTTGTTTTCTTAAAAAAAAAAAAATATGGCCCCTTTTAGTCTGGCACGCTATTCATTTACTAACTGCTTGTTTTCTTAAAAAAAAAAAAACTAACACTAGCTTCTCTATTCTTTTTGTATTCTATCTATTTTTTTTCTTTTATTGATTATACAATTAACAAAAAGCAAAAAAAACGCCTCTAACACTAGCTTGCTCTATTATTTTTGTATTCTGTTTTCTTATTTATTATATAATAAAAAAAATAAAAAAAAACTTGTTACGTATACTGCGTTAGGCTAACTGAGACTTGTCATAACACTTGCACATTGCTCTTTTGTTGATTTTGATTGCTTCCATTGTCATTTAGCAGATGCTTTTATCCAAAGCGACTTACAAATGAGGACAATGTAAATGTATATCGATATAAACAGTATTGTCTCATTCCATATTGTTTATACAAAATATATTGATAGATAAAGCGCCCAGCCCAAATACAGCCCACAAGCCAAACAAAACAGATGGTTCTGATAACCGATCTCCGCTCTTACCCGGGTAAAGGCACCTCGAGCTCATCCTGCCAGTCGGCCTGCTCTTCAGCATAGAACGGCCCATCGGGCTCTTGCCTGGGCAGCTCCTGTCCGGCGTCCTCGCTCTCGCTGTCCCCCAGTGCGCTGTCCGAGCTCTCGTTGCGTGGGATCTCCCAGTCGTTCAGCGGGACTGCTTTCTTTTTCTCCCCAACGGTGCCTTGTGAAGGGACACTCAGCGACATCTCGATGCCCTTGTCCTGCTCGGCAGAACAGCAGGTTTTACAGCAGGTTTCTCCTGCGTCGCACTCACACCCGCCATTGTCCAACCGTGGGGTATTGTTTCCTGCGCCTTTCATCTCCGTTTGGTAGACATCATCAATAGTCCTCGTCTCCACGGGATTGTCATCGCTGAAATACTCGTCAAACATGTCCATGCAGTCGCCTTGCACTTTCAGACACCACTGAGACGTCTTTCTAGTTCTAGTCTTGCTATCGTTGGTCTTGATTTGGTCCACTTGGAGTTTAGCCTCGCCGTTACACTGCTTCTGCTGGTTGTCTTTGAGAAGCTTCTTGTGTTTCTTGATCTCCTCCTCCACCTTTTGTTGTCGACTCTCCATGTCAGATTCAGGAGACATCGAGTCTCCGATGAGGAATGTGACTTTAGCGGAGGGCTCGTTCCCGGCGTTATCAAAGCTCTTGTCAGGGGGCTTCTTGTCTAGCAGGATATCTGATGAATGGAAGATCCTGATGGGTACGCCACCAGACTCCACCTCGGGCCGCACGTCCCCTTGAATCTCGAGCGAGGGTCTTCTCTCGCACGGCGAGTTGGAGCCGACTTTCACCACGGTTTCCAGTCGAGTCTCGAGCCGTGGGCTCCCTGCTTCTCTGCAGACAGGCGCGTCACTGATACGGTCCGCCTCCGGTGTGGCGGGATGCGGACGCTTGTGCTCATCTGGGGCTTCTGTGTCCATGTATGTGCTGCCCTGTAAACTGTTGTCATCAGACGGGTAGCCGTCCTCTCCCTCTGCACCCTGGGACAGGTAGTCTTGGCTCGGCTTGTGCACGGTGACCAGCACGTAGTCGGACTCCTCCACCTCTCCGCGGCGCAGCGACGTGGTGATGAGCGAGCCGGGCATCACGATGGCCTCGTCCTCGGCGCTCTCCAGCAGGTGTGTTTCTAGTAACTCCGAGCAGCGGATGAAGTAGGTCAGCACATAGAGAAGACGCTGCACCAGCTCCTGTCGTCTGCCAACCACCACCGTACGGGACAGACGCACAGGTGAGCCGATTGCCCCGTACAGGTCACCTGCAACAATAACAACATTATTCACCAAAACAATTCTTACACATTTGCTAGGAAACAAATAAGCAGTGCTGGGTAGTAATGGATTACATGTAATCAGATTATAAAAAAAGTGATTACTCGTAACTGGATTACATTTTAAAATGCTCATAATCAGATTACAGTTACTTAATTTACATATTATTCATAAAATGGCAGTAAAATATTCAGAATTTTCTGATTCCCTCTAATTTGTCTTTTTTTATAGAGTTTGAACTGCAGTTCTTACATTAACTCCAGTTTGGGAAATGCTGGTGTAATGCAATGTTTAATGCACTTCATTTTGTTGATATCAAACAATCGAATATATTTTCTTTTTCTTTGCTTTTTTTATATCAAAATGGTACATTTAATGGTAAGTTTAAAACAAGTTATGTAAAAAGTAGTTAGAATACATGACCTAAAATGAGTAACCTAGATTACATTACTAACTACAAATTTCATCATGTAATCTGTAAACAGTAACAGACTACAATTTATAAGTAATCTACCCAACACTGGAAATAAGAGGGTGTCGTTTGTGCTGTATGGCTGATATAATGGCAGGATTAGTCCTGTCTCCCTTGGTTCCCTTCAGAGATTAATTCATACTTTAAATTTATATTATTTTCCTCTGTAAATCCATTCATCCAGTAAATCCATAAATCCAGTCTTCTGCCGTAGTTTCACACAAAACAAATCCTAGGCTGTATTTATCATGGGTTGTTCAAACTGCAACCCTTTCTATTTGTAACCCTCAAACTTCAAATCTTCAGCGACCCCTAGTGGGGGTCACGACTCCCAGGTTGGGATCCACTGCTTTAAAGGTTCTTCATGGAATCATATAGATGCCAATAAAGAACCTTTATATTTTTTTTTTTAAGTGTCGTGAGCATCGATGCTCCCTGTTTCTTGTGGTGCATTGTGGGATTTTTAGGGAGTGGATGTTCCAGGGATTTAGCGATTAAGACTGTGCCCTGACTACTGCTTCAACACACCTGCCTGTGATTTTCAAGCAATCCTGAGGACCTTGACTAGCTGGTTCAAGTGTGTTTGATTCAGGTTAAAGCTGCAGGACAGCAGGACTGAAGACTCCTGTTCAAATGCAATGTTTCCCAACCCTGTTCCTAGAGGCACACCTGCTTATCAGCTCATTAGTAGAGACCAGAAATATCCAAAATGTGTATTTGTTGTGGTGCCTCCAGAAAGAATCCTGCTCTAAAGCTCACTGTGGCAAGTCATTTCCATCAACACTCCACTAGGTGGCGAAATGCACACATTTTTGCATTCTTGCATGCGTCATTTACCAAGCTGTGCCCAAAGTGGGTTGTAGGGATGTGTTTTTGCCAGCATGTCCACGCTCTGTGAGGAGTGCTTCTCCAGGAAGATCTTTATGGGTGGTTGACCATTGGGCATGACCGTGGGAACCCAGGCAAGATGGTTAGTGAGAACCGCAGTGAGAAGTGCCGGGAGGAATCTAAAGGCAACAGACAAAGCAAGCGAGAACATGGTTACATTCACTCTTATCAAGGGCGTTTGATGGCTTGAGGAGTATGTGTGACGTTACTCAACTGGTTCTTGGAGGCTTGCTCCATGAGCAGGGCCAGCTCCCTCATGAACTGGCCACAAAGCTGATTCTTTTCAGGTGGACCCGACATCATGGTGAGCCAGACGGGCTCAGACACACGTGGCATGGTGTACAGGTTGCAGATGGTCGTCCTACAGGGCATCCGCACACAAAGACAGAAGAGCTTTTGTCAACTGTTTAAACAAAGAGCGCTTCAGTTGCACAGGGCTGCCCCAGCTGGGAAAGACCTTTGCAGCATATTTAACTTCTGCAAATGTCACGCAGCCCGGGAGCATTGGCCGTGGTCCAGAGCTTAACACCCAGATGCTACTCGAAATGGTAGGAGTTCAGGAAAGTCTGCAGAGTCACGAGTAGGACTGCTTCTGCAAAACTAGCGCGCTTTCTCCACTTAATTACACGCAAAGCAAATCTCTGGATGCCATCAGAGGAGCAGCTTTAACACTAATCTGCAACGGAGCAACGTTGTTTACCATTACAAGCAATACTCGTGCTGATTAGGCAATGGGAAAAATGCAGATGTTTGCACAAACTCCCGAGTGTGTTGCCAATAACCTGACACTTGGGGGAAAAAACGACAATGTACTCCCTTCCCAAGACGTACTATACTTCCCAGTACTGAAGTTAGTGTGTAGTGACCTAAAAAAAGCCTCATGCAACAGCAGCTAACAGACAGACAGAACTGTTTTAGCACTGGATTAGGTAGGAGTTATGAAGCTCTGAGGTCTACTTTCACAAACCTAGAACCTGAAATGAGGACTGACAGAACACGACACGCTAAACATTCATCACTTAAAATCAGGCCTGGGTGATTATTTAAGCAATATGGTATTAGAGGAATTCACAATATAACACCTTCAAGTGTTATAAAGCCTTACTATATATTACAAATATTAAAATGTTGATAAATGTCATTGGTACACTAGAAGATTTAACAAAACTAAACAAGCAAAAAATGGTCCAATGAATTAGTTAAGGATCCGTTTGTGACACTACTCAAAAAGTTTTTTATTGTTATACTGCTGCATGCAAAAGAGCACTATATTAAATTTAGATTAAGTAAAGTCTATTCTTACTGTATTTTACACCTTGATTAAATTTGATCCCCGTCTTAATTAAAATGTGAACAGCTGATTGTTGACCAACTGATTTTCACAATCAAAACATCACACACTGATGTACAGCTTCATCATTTCAGATCTCTGACTTCACAACCCCGAGGATGAACGCCAAGGTGTATAATTATCCCGCTGGAGGTGGGAAATCTGAAATATTTGTTTGTCTGTTCACTTGCACATTATTGACTATTCTGGTCTGTCCTGACAGTGTGTGAGGGAGATAAGGTTTCTGTGGCACTGGGGTCAGGTTGCTCTGGCCGCGGACCAACAAGCATATGACTTGGAAGTATGAGTGGGTGCATAGTGGATCACCTCTGAAGCACTGACACGGACCGTGCTTATTTTACACAGACCAGGACTGAAGCACAAGCTCACACGGCCTTCTGCTCAGTTCCTTCGCAAGATGTTATATGCTCTTTTCAATACTATTAATAATTCTGCTCCTATTTATAAGCATTATTATTTAACAGTAATAAATTAATAGTCAGTTTAAAGCTTATACTTGATTTTCCATTCCTATTTATTTATTAGCTGATGCTAATAAATGAGAAACTCCTCACGGTTAATCAATTAACTGATTGTTACAACAATAGTGTTTCATTTCTGCAGTTTTTGAACAGTTCGGTCAAACTAACAGATCAATGTTCTGATGGCGCCGCAGGGATACAATGTTTGTCTTTTAGGAGAATCAACATACAAATATAGTTGACGTCAATATAGTCTTGTTCAGACGAAGTCCAGATCCGATTTTTGTGCATATCCGATCATATTTAACGAATGTGAAAGGCAAAAAAAATAAAAATACATCACATAAAATCAGATTTTTAATATGAGTTTTGAAATCCTATTCAAATCACATTCCCGGAAATCATTTTCAGTCTGACTGCTCAGATTGGATTCAGTAAAACGAAAGAGCACCACGGGACACACAAATCAGATCTGAACAGTTGCGATACACAGTGTGGACAGTAACTAATTTAAACCGGATTTCAATAGGATATGCACAAAATCAGTGTTTGGACTGACAGTCTGAACAAGGCTTATTACTCTTAGATCATAGGAAGCATGAAAACAATGCCTTTTCATAATGACAATTGACAGAATTTAAAAAATGTGACACCTCAAGTATGATTGACAGGTTGATTTTTGTTTTTATTTCTTTTAATGCATCACGCTTCTGGTTGACCTGAACATGATACGAGAGTTATCGTGTGAATTGTGTCAAAGGTCACCGTGCTCAGTGCAGCAGCAGGAAACTTCCAGCAATGCCTCCAGAGGCGTTCATTAAGATTGGACACAAAGTCATCGCATGTGAAAGCGCCCTCAGATCAGTGTCGTGTGTCTCATGTCACATGAGTGGATTAAGTGTCCAGTAAACCTTGGACTTTTAGAGGATGCAAATAACAAAACACCTGGTGAGCAGCGTCCACAGACGTGTCACCACAAACTCACCTAAACTCATTGAGGCCGTCCACCATGCGACTGTAAGCCAAAGCTCTCTGGCTGACATCAGCTGACCTGCGGCTCAGTATCATAGCCTTCAAACAAACAGAGAGCCACAAACACACACTGTAAGAGAGACGCAACAGATGACGCAGGGAGACGGCAAACCACAAAAACACAAATCATGTCTAACCTGCTCAATGGCACTTTTGAGTTTGTTCATGTGACTCTCAAAGAGAGGAAAGTGAGAGAAGAAAAAGTCCTGGAACTTGGCGTTTTCTTCGTCGTTGGGCGAGAGCAGGAAGATGACACCAATAGCGATCTTCTTCTTCCTGGCAACACTCAAATTCGGCCCGCCGTTCTCGTCAGACATGTTGAAGCTCTCCTCCACAGACCTAGAACGCAACCACACCACTGGATTAGACAGGGAAATGTGAGCGGGTGAACAGAGTCTCACACTGACATTTAAACGCACTAATGAGTCCTCACTACTGTTTGTCATTTCTACATTTCTCTCTCAAGTTTGCATGTGTTAAGTGAAGGTCCTGATGAAAGAAAAATCTGCTGTAATTATAGAAGTAGGTGATATACTGATAGAAACGTCTCGGCTACACTTAACGATGCAATGTTATGCAATGCTGCATAATCATACAATTGTTGCACAATCAGTTTACATTTGCATGCATTTTTAAGCCTAGCCAGTGATTGCAAACTATTCAAACGCGACGAGATGTGAAAGAGACCTTCTCTGTACTCATGCGGAGTCTGAGAGCGCCCATAAAGCAGCCGCTCACACAGCGTCCGAGTAATGAAATCTGTTTCAGTCAAAAATGCACAAAAATGTCAAATTGATCATCAGAGTCAGTTATGTCTGTTAAATGAATGTAAACAATTGGGAGACAAGCGAACAATCAAATTGTGCATCAGTTTGTGTCATTAATGTTCATCAAACATCGAAAGACAAGAGAAAATCACTCGATGCTTTTGACTGAATCTCTTGTAAAACCGTATATTTCATTTATACAGTGAGAACTATTCAGTGTTTTATTTTGACATTTTTTTATTCAGTTTCTGTAGTAGTTCTTATTTTTGATAGATTAAAGCATTTGTATCATTGTTCTATTGTATTTGTTTAGCTGTGATATCAAAATTGGCATCATGAATCATGCAATTACAATTGTATTTAATATTTTGCTATTGTAACAACCTTATTTCAGGCAAATATATCTACTGTGACATATTAAGGTGAAAAAAAAATGCTCCTATATCATCATTTAAACTTTTGATCCTATCGCCCAATGCTAGCTGTGGACACAGTGCGTGCATGAGTGTGTTGCAATCGCACCATCGAGGGAAGACGCCGTTCTCCAGGCTGGTGGTTTGGCTGCGTAACCAGCGTCGCTGGTAGCTACTAGCACAGCTGCTGGTGAGAGAGGAGCCCGGTGATGGAAACGGGGTGATCAACAGGCTGCTTAAAGACGCTGTGGAGAGAAGAGAGGATCAGTGAGTCGGTGTGATCACATGCCCATCACTCACACACGGCAAAAATAAGGTACTCTTGCAATGACGTGCAAACGGAAGGATATTCTCTGTGCATCATTTCTGAGCATTTGAACTCTTAAAGGCTCTGTTTATTTATTTTGCTACTGCAGCTTTAAAAGGAATAGTTCAAAAACACAAGTCCATAATCCATAATAATGATTCCGCCAATGAAAAAGTTGTCTCGTCTGAATCAGAAGAGAAATATGTACAGATCAAACACTGTTTACAAGCCCAGACAGTTCTATATAAATAAGTAGGTTGATTTTAAAGTAAGAGACAACAAGAGATTAACTTTTTCACTGGAGGAAGCGTTATTATGGATTTTCGCAGGAAGCAACAGTTTGAAGTTAAAGACTTCTTAATGATGAATTTGTTTCTTACAAACACAGCTTTTGGCTTCACAAGATGTTAACTGATGGACTGGAGTGGTGTGGATTATTGTGATGTTTTTATCAGCTGTTTGGACTCATTCTGACTAGGGATGTCAATGTTCGATTATTTCCATGATCGATCGTCATTTAAATTAACAATCAATTAATCGATTAATCGTTAACCTTAATACTGTAAAATGCGTCTATTGAAGTAGCATATAGTCACTGGCAAATGCCACTCAAGACGCCAGCTTCCTCACCCGAATTAAAGGGGTTTTTAGTCTAAATAAAAGGCTAGTAGCAGGATTGTAAAATGAATAGATGTGATTATGATCATTTGATAAAATTAAGAGAGCCACCGTAGTTACGTTTGGGATCATTATACTTTACTTTCTTTGAGAGAAAGTACTGAAATATATATATTTTCCCTGTGTTTCCTTCCTGCTGTGTGAGCTACTGAAATGAGCCGCACTGTGAAACAGCCAATCAGAGCAGAGCTCAACATTATTATTCATGACCCTTCCAAATAAGGTAAAAACAGACCATTTCATTCTAGGGACAAATCCTAGGGTTGTAAATGGACATGTAAAACCATTTCTGGAGATTTTTTGCCCTTACCTAAGCCACATACCTTCTATGTAGATATCAGAGAACAATTTAAAATATTGTATCAATGCATTCTATGGCACCTTTAAATCATGGGTTTTCTAGGGAACAAATTCATGAAACACGGACAGTGGCCACAAATTAATGATATATATATATATGTAGCGCCCCCTGCCCTCTCGAGAGTTACGGCTCTGTTAGGAGCACCTGGTTCTGGTGATATGTCTCTCGACTAGTATTATAAACTATTACACACCTCTAGTATTAATACTATTTACAAGCTAAGCCTACAGGTAAGTATGGTGAATCCAGGTAAATACACCAGGTAAGTATGGGTAAGTATAAAAACTATAAAGTTTTATTATCAAAATAAATAAATAAATAGTCAAATCTCAACAAATATATAAATATCAATAAATAGAAAAATAGAAATAAATACATAAATAGGCCAATAAATAAACAAATAAATAGACAGTGTGTAAAAATATAGCAAAATAGACCAGGGGTTCACAAAGTCTACATTCAAATGTCCAAATCTGAATTTTCATCAGTGTCAACAAAGGACCGGACCGGAACAATTGGTTATTACAAAACTTGTTTTTAATAAACATACATAACATGCATAACAAATAAGCATTATTTTTTTTTTTAAATAAAGCACCCTTTGCATTCAAAATACATTAATAACAAGTGCAAAAGTGGCAAAACAATTCATTTAAGTGTCAGCAATAGAGGTCGACCGACAAGGGTTTTTCTCTGGCCGATGCACATATTTAAAAATCAGGGCAGCCGATGGCTAATATGTGATGCTCATTTTTGTAGCCGATATGTTTGGCCGATTTTCTTTCTTTTTTTTCCCCTTCATCTCATAAAAGAGTTTGAGTAAATTATTACATTTAATGATTACATTTGATTGCAGTTAAAAGATTAATTAAATAAGTTTTATGCATTAATATAATTAGCACCGTTTTAGATAATAAAACTGCATTTATGAAAAGATAAAACATTTCATAGGGCAATATTATTGTTAAAATTGTTATACATTGCTAAAGCTTTATGAATTCCATGATTAGACATTATTATTAAAATGTAATTAAACTTAAAATTAAATGCAAAAAAAAGAAAACATATACAACAGCGCCCGTATTCACTAAACATCTTAAGGCTAAAGATGGACTCCTAAATCTTTGCTCCAAGAGTGTTTCACAAAGTGTTTTAGCACTAAAGCTAGCTCCTAAATCTGCGAAACATTAGTAGTGAAGAGGACTCCTAAGTCACTAAGACCAAGCCACAAACTATCCTAACATGGCTGTTGCTTGCAATCTGCCTCAGAATAGAAACATTTTAGAAACATCTAACTATAATGAGCTTTTATAATGGTATCACCTTTGGTTTTGGAGGTTATCCCAACTCCAAATTTTCCTTTGATTATATCCTTATTTTCATTAAGCAGCTGGACAAGAAGTAACAGATGTTCTTGCGTCCAGTTTGGTTTTCTTTTACGTTTGCATGTCTTACTATCAGCCATGATTATTCTACGCTGTTAATTAAAAGGCTGTTTATATGCATATTCACTAATTATGAGAAGCACACATGTAAGAGACTGACAATTCCCTGAACATATACTTATTTAATTAGTGACGCTTAGCCTGCATTTTAAAATCTTTATTTGAATGCGGAAATTAACAGTTTTATTTTTAAACCTTTATTTGAATAAGGCAACATAATATTGCGCTCTGCAATATTTCTATGAATGAATCTCTGACAGAGACTATCAGCCAATCACTGTGTGCATAGTTAATAAGCATGCTGACATCATCCATAGCAACGTGCTCAACCCCACCCCCTTACTCTTAGCTTAAAGCTTCTCTCTATTCCTTAGTAAAAGTTAGTCTCAGCAGTTTTGTGAATAGGTTTTAAGAGAAAACTCTTAGTTTAAGAGAACTCTTAGCGGTAAGATATAATGTTTTGTGAATGCGGGCCCAGATGTCATACAGCCCTAAATATAAAATTTTCTTACTTGTAGCCTAGAAATAAATCCCGTGCATTAACTGTGTGTTTGAATATAAATGTGTCCCATATGACATCTGCATGTGTGAACAGACTCACCGGAGCGGGCGATGCCGCTGTCTCTCTCATCATACAGTCCTCGGCCTGGCATGTCCATGGGGTTACTGTGTCCTGAGAGGAAGCAGAGAAAGTCATGCAGGGACGATTTTAAAGAGCTTGCTTATCCCTACCCACCACCCATCCAGCCATCTTATCAGCACTGTGATCTACCTACACATCAGCACAGACACATGCACACGCAGCAGGCAGGAGAGGGCAAACCGGTGCATTATGGGAGACGGGGTAGAAAGAAACCCTGGGCTTGTCAAAGCTAGAGAGATCACACCAGAACAGATCTACCAGTTACACGTCCTAAAATGCTGTCACAATCAAAGCACTAGCAAACACCTTAAATGCACATGCATAAAACACTAGTGCCACATGCACACTCTCGTGCACACACACACACACGCCAACCTGAAAAGAAAGAGGCGCTCTTGATGAGACGGAGAGGGCCTTGCTCTGAGAGCACCCGGCGTGGGCTGCAGAACTGAGAGAAACCTGTACAGTACCGCGATCAGGAGAGCAGGACGACAAATGAAGAGAAAGAGACATCCAACTGTTAGTTAAGTACAGGAAGAGACACAGAGATGCTCAAATGTCTGGAATCATTTATATTTTTGAAAGAAGTCTCTTATGTTCACCAAGGCTGCATTTATTGTAATCAAAAATACAGTAAACTAGTAATGTATATATATTTTTAGCATCATTACTCCAGTCTTCAGTGTCACATGATCTTCAGAAATCATTCTAATATGCTGATTTGCTGCTCAAGAAACATTTCTGATTATTATCAATGTCAAAAACAGTTAAGCTGCTTCATATTTTAAAAGTCTAGGATAAGTAAAAACAAACAAAAACAAAGGATGCATTAAATTGATCAAAAGTGAAAATTAAGGCATTTATAATGTTACAAAAGATTTATTTTTCAAATAAATGCTGTTCTTTTGAACTTTCTATTCACCAAAGAATCCTGGAAAATAAAATGCATCAAGGTTTCAACCAAAATATGAAGCAGCACAACTGTAAGCATGATATTGTTTTCAATATCATAATAATCAGAAATGTTGTAATGCGAATCAGCATATCAGAATGATTTCTGAAGATCATGTGACACTGAAGACTGGAGTAATGATGCAGAAAATTCAGCTGTGATCACAGAAATAAATTACAGTTACAATATACAGAAACAGCTACTTAAAAAGAGTAATAATACTTCACAGCATTAAGGTTTTACAGTATTTTTTTATCAAATGAATGCAGTCCTGGTGAGTAAAAGAGACTTTTTTAAAAAAGCATTTATAAATCGTAATAAATCCACACTTTTGATCAGTAGTGCATCTTAAGCTGTCAGGACGACACAGACAGACAGATGAATGGCAACACCACACAGAAAATTAATATTCAGACTCAATTCAATAATCTGTGCAGTCATTTCTGTGGGTGTTGCACACAAACAATTCTGAAAACTGGACTCAATATACATGATAGTTAGGTAACGCTCAAAAAACATGTGCGGGTCATGGTTCAGCCTAAAAACAAAAATGACATTTTGCATAAAAAGAAATCAAGCCTATATTTAGGATCATTAGGATTTGTTGTACTGAACTTTATGTTCATGACAACTAATCAGATTTTCTTTCTCATTACTGTAATGTTTCAGGACATTTGGCTGGATAATAAATGACAGCACCATGAGCTAACCAAAGGATACAAGTGCTATTTTTGTCTTTTTCACATTTTTTGTTCAAAACCTTCATGTTGTGGACTATAATGAACTGTATTATAAACTAGTGTCAACTATACTGAACTGTAGTGGTAATGGTGATTATAGCATGAAGGTAACTCAAGAGTTCATTGTATCTGTGTGACCGGCTGATAAATGAGGCTTTTACTTTTCACTTCTGATTCGGTCTCTGCAGTTTTAATCACATTATTGTGTCACTTATTTTTTCTTTAACCCTCTAATGCGTGATGTCCACTATAATGGCCAGTTCTTTAAAAGTTTTTTTTTTTTTTTCAACATTTCAAATTGCAATGTTACATCCTTACCCATAATTGTATAACACTGTCCTGTTTTGCTGCATTTATTTATGACAACATAAAATCAAAATGACAGATGAAAGTGGTGAGGCATCAAGTAGCACTAAAATATTTACTACTATTTTCTATTGCATTAGCTCTCAAGCGACATCATTTTGGTGTAATATAAGACAAAAGAGCTTCATTTAATATTACAAAAAAAAAATACTCTATTTATTTATTCATATCAAAAACAACATGATTTTGGGGAGAGGACAATGACCTGGACATGTTCTCAATGAGTCCTCAAAACAAACACATAGCTTAATGTTAAAACAGTGACGATGTGACGATTTCATAGAAAACTTGCGCACAATGGAGAAGGACAGACACAGAAGAAAACTTGGAAAAGCACTGAGATTATAAAACATAAAACAGTGTAACAAATGTTTTTGCCAGCTGAAACAGCAAATGTCGTCAAAGGAACAATTTGGCGATTGAAACTGTATTGACAGTGTATGTGGAGTAAGTTCAGGCTGAGGCACGGAGGATCTTGCGTTACCTATGCTGCCCAGGAAGCCGTTGGCGGCGGTGTTCTGCTCTGGCCGCAGCGCGCCGGAGTCCTGATTGATGAACTCTAAACTGTCCTGCAGTCTGTCAAGTAATCAAGAGGTGCAATGAGGCAACGGACCACAGCGAATGTACCGCTGAACGTGTGTCTGTGTGAGTGTGTGTGAGAGAGAGAGAGAGAGAGAGAGAGAGAGAGTGTGTGTGCGTGAGTGTGCGTGTGAGTGAGTGTGTGTGTGTGTGTGTGTGTGGCTTACGTGTTCAGGCTGCCGTAGACGCTTCCGCCCGTTCTCGCTGTAAACACTTTACTGAGCATCAGCTGTGAAGGAGATCTGGGAACAAACACACACACTTGATCAGCACAGACTGCTCATCACACACACCATCAGCTTGACATCCGTACGCTCTCACCTTATCTGGTGGATCTTCAGCGTTGAGCCTTTGTAGCTCATGGCCACCGAGCCGAACATCATTTCTCCGAGCATGTTAGCGTCTGATAAGCACCGTGAGGAGCCCTGATACAACGAAAGAAAGAGCAAAGCACACAGGTTTGAATCTGCAGGAGCAGCACACAGGGGTGTGTGATATGTATCTTATCCAATGATACAGTAATTGTTGTTTTAACGGTGTGAGAGCTGACTTTGATGAGCGTCACTGAGTTTGCACAAACCAAACAAAAGCACGTCTTGAGAGCATGCTTTCACTAAATGATCTGAAATTCAAGATATGAGGGCAAAAAATACTCCGTAGGAGTTATTATTTTATATTTCTATATGATATAGTTTAGCAATATCACGCGAACAGGAGTTCTGTTTTTTTTCTTAATAGTATCACTATCGCAAATGGTATTGATTTTATGCAGCAGTTCAATAACATCAAGTTAATATTAAGTGATTTATATTTTAGACACACTATTGTCAATCTGTTTTTTTTTTACAGTTTTTATTTATTAACCATCTAATTAAAGAAAGTTCAATTCCAAGTGCAGCACACATGAAATTTGGTAACATTTGGTAATATTTCTATTAAAAAAATCACGATTTCTCGATTTATAAAAAATAAATAAATAAATAACAGTGGAAAAGCATTAAATTAGAATTAATCGATAAAATCGGAAGAATTGCCCAGGTTAAATAAAAGACTCAATGACTCGCTCTTTAAAACAGTGAACTGACGCCACCTACTGGCAGTTTTAATTTCATATTTAACATTTAAATTTTTCAAAATGTTAACTTTAAAACATTAATCTCAAAGTATTTTTGTATTTGCTGTGTAAATAGATTTAATGCTTCAGATGCAGCTTGCAAAAATTTATTTTGTTGATACTGATTTTATTTGACTGGTAACAGTCTATATAGCGTCTCATTACTTGAACTAAATATGGTTGCGATACGATATGTTGCGATATATTGCGATACTGTAAGCAAGACGATATATTGGGATATTTCTTATTTTAGGAATAGGAGAATAGGATAGAATTTTAGGAAAAGTGTCATTTAGAACACACCACCATATGCAAACCTTAGCAAAAATAAAATCCATTTACATACATACATGATGTATGTATGTGACTGATTATGGGTCGAGAGGAGGGATGACCTACACGACCATGGTGGAGGATTTGCTACTCAACAGATCCGGAGCTCATTGACAAATATCTTATATCGTAAGATGCGCTCCCTTTACTCAGAGTGCGCGTGATCGCGAAATCAAAAGTGAAAGTGAACAGCGCGAGCGCTCATTCAAAAGAGATTTAAATACTCCCCATTGATAGCGGCTCCCTGATACGCGAAAATTATATGTAATATTAGAATGTTTGCGGTTGCGGGCGGGACTGGACAAACCTTGCAGAAACGGAACACAAGTTGTCATTGTTTAAGTTCAGAGGTAAGAAGAGTGCTATCTAGCAGTCAGGATATAAACTCAAAACGAAACAATGGCCAGGAATCTTGTATAGGCTACATTTATTTATTTTTTGAAATATCGATATTGCGCTTTTGAGAATCGATACAGTATCGCCAAACAAAATATCGCGATACTCACGTGTATCGATATTTTCTTACACCCCTAATATGAAGAATATGAAGAGAGAGAGCGAAGGCTTGTGACGGGACTCACCTGGAAGCGGTTTTGTTCTTTGGGCTCGGAGGCGCAGGACGAGCTGCTGTCCAGGGAACTGGAGCTGCCACCTGTAGGCCTCAGCTGACAACACTTCCCAAACATCTTCGCCTGTGCCTCTCCACACACCCTCTGCAAACAACACACGGACAAACTCAACAACCCAGCGCAGTCACTAAACCTGAGAAACACACCGGTTCGTCAAGACCCACATTCTGCAAAAAAGACATTTCAGGTGTATGATTGTCTGGAGTGTGAATGCAGCAGCACACAAAAGCGAATGCTGTTTTAAACAGTTAATGTTGAATCAATTGTCACTGATCGTTATTTAAAGGTGCGAGGGGGAGAGTCTGGATTGAATGTTGAGACATGACCACAAAGCAAATAAACATGCAAAAAGAAACAGCGAGACCAGTTTAATATGATTCACAATCAGATGACTCTTGTGTATGAGTCGTACTTTAAATGAATCATTCAAAACGACTCTCAAACGCAGATTAGTCAGTCTGATTACTCATTCACTGAATCCAGAGCAGTTCCTGAATTGAATGAATAATCTGTCACACCTTCACGTCAATCCAAACACATTTAACACACTAATTGTTTTTTTTTTCATTTTTTAGTTTAGTGAATTTAACATTTGCTTTAACAGCATTATTTTTGTTTTTAGATTGTAATGTTACAATGTTAGAATACAATGTGATTTTAACCCTTTTTTGCACATAATATATAGCTTAGCCTACATGGTTACATTCACTATATTTGTTTTCATAGCCTTTAATATGAATGAACATCGTTTCATTGGACAACGTTGGACAGGATGTCATTTTTTTCCCCTCACATAAATATTTTTTTTCAATTCAAACAGAAAAAGTAGAATATAGAGATATACACCGCATATAACACAATTCAGCCGAAAAATATCAAGATATGTATTCTTATTTGGCAATACTGCCCAGCCCTAGTCTTTAAACATTTTGAAGTTTTAGTTTTGTTTGCATGGATTTAAAGGAGAGACATGAATCTCTAAATAGCCAAGCGTGCACATAAACACTTTTTTTGCATGCCGTTTAACTTCAACCCTTGTTGCGAATCAATAAAGAGCGAATCCCTTCAGATCTCTGTGAGGTGTTACATGAGACGTCCAGCACTCGTCCAGATGAGGGAAAGGCCTGAGTTAATGAGTGTTTTGGCTGTGCGTGCCAGGCTCAGTGTCTCATGGCTCATGCGGAGTCTCGTCCTGCTTTGTGAAGAGCACAAAGGAACTCGAGCATGTGAGACTGTCATATGACTTCCTTAACAACTCGTGAGCAGGACCATTTGCTTACTCACTCTCTTCTGCTCTCAGTCAATGACTCTCTGTCTCTCTCTCTCTCTCTGGTGAAACAATATCCTCTGCCAAAAGCGTCATGTGATTGCAGCCTCAGCTCGTCTCCATATCGGCGATCTCTAGAGCCTCATCCGAACACACTAGACAGGCTGTTTATTATTCATCTGGCTGCACTGCGCAACAGCAGCAGCTTGAACCTGCAGTGGATTTTAAGGAGCATGCTTTACGTTTAGGAATGTTTTTAATCATCACCCAACCACAGCAATATTTTACACACATGCTGTGTGTTTTTATTATTCAGCAGGTTTCAGGTCAAAGCCATACTGAACTGACTGATAAATATCAAATGTTAAGCCACTGAATGAATGATCCAGGGCTTACTTATTTATAACGTTGTACCATGTGGAACAATCAGTAATGACACTGACTTAAATTTCATGGCGCTTTAGTCAGGGTTTCTACAGGTTTTATGAAGGTAAATTTAAGACTTAAAGACAAAATGCGTGGAATAAATTGAACAGAACACAATAAATCATTGTGTTCTTAATGAGTTATATTAGCAACACTTCAGAGTTTAAACATTCAATTTCCAACTGATTTCCATTACTTTTTAATGCATTAAAAAAGGAGAAATTGAGAAAGAGATTCATTTTTACATTTAATACCAAAACTTCATGACTTTCTGCTCTGATTTAAAACCTTTTAAGGTCTTAATTTGTAGAAGGCTAAATTAAGATCTGCAGAAATCCTGTTTGGTGCACAAAACATTTTGGAACGGTCATCAATTTTGCAACATCAACTCTCTTCATGAGCTGAATTACTTATTATTTTCTCTCATCACATTCAGTCCAGACTGATTGGGGAAACACAGATCAGAATTCCCTTCACATTTCACATCGCAGTCAGATGACAAGAGCAGGTGTGGAAAATGTTGGTTTCTTTGGTGAACCGGCTTTTGCACTGCACCCGCAGCCTCATGACAGCTAATGACAAACAACTGGCAGACGTGACCGAGAGCTCGACACGCCTTCAGTCATGTGAATGTGAAAGAATGCTTACACACTCAGAGTCAGCTGATGCTATTATTACTGGAGATAAGGCCTTTGGTTCTCACAGCACTCACCGTGACCGGGGCATCTTCCGTGCTTCTCTTTCTGACGTCCGAGTCGAAGAGGACGTTCCTGCCACGCCGCTCGCAGTCCTGGTAGACGATGAGACGGATCTGGCTGGACTCCAGCTCCGGTGACGACCAGCTGAGGGACAGAGACACGAACATGAGCTTAAAGGAATAGTTCTCCCAAAAATGAAAATTCTGTCATTAATTACTCACCCTCATATCATTACAAATCCATAAGACCTCTGTTCATCTTTGGAACACAAATTTAAGATATTTTTGATGAATTCTGAGAGCTCCATGACCCTCCCATAGACAGCAAGGATCCTAACACGATCAAGGTCCAGAAACATAGCAAGGAGATCGTTAAAATAATCCATGTGACATCAGCGGTTCAACCGTAATTTTACGACGCTACGAGAATACTTTTTGTGTGCAAAGAAAACAAAAATAACGACTTTATTCAACAATTCGTCTCCTCCGCGTCACCCTATAGCGCCATTTTGGAGAGTATCACATACGTAAACAACGCATGCAATGCATGTACGCGGATACGCTGTTTACACTTTGATCTGAACGTAAACAACGTATCCACGAACATACATTGCATGCATTGTTTACGTATGTGATACTCTCCAAAATGGCGCTATAGGGTGACGCGGAGGAGACGAATTGTTGAATAAAGTCGTTATTTTTGTTTTCTTTGCGTACAAAAAGT